TAGTTACACTGAATCTCTTCAATGAATTTATATTTCTTTTTATTCATATGCACCAACAGGTCCCAGACAAGTAGCATAAAATGATAAATAGACACACCACTCAAGTTATATTTTTCTAAGAAATCAAAATAAGAGTTGTGTTAGAAATAATTTTACATCATTAAAAAAAATTCTTACTGATGATTTTGAAAACTCAGGGTCAGGTATCAAAAAAAGAAACCGTAGCCAGGCTCGGTGGCTCAGCCTGTAATCCCGTGCCTTTGGGAGGCTGAGGTGAGTGGATTGCCTGAGCCTGTGGGTTCGAGACCCGCCTGGGCAGAGAGACCTCATCTCTACAATAAATCAAAAAATCAGCCGGGCGTGGTAGCACGCACCTGTAATTCCGGCTACTTGGAAGGCTGAGGTGGAAGGATCGCCGGAGCCCAGCAGGTGAGGCTGTGGTGGCCAGGAGCGGCCACTGCACTCCAGTCTGGGTGACCGAGTGAGACTCCAACTCAAAAAAAAAAAAAAAAAAAAGAGAAACTGTGCTAAATTCTCATATTACTCTGATCAGTCAAGTAAATTAAATATGCACATCAATGCTAAATGCATTTTCAGTTATATGAGAAGATATTACTTAATTATGTGTATTGAAAGAAAAAAACACACAATTTCTTAAAAAGAGAGTAGAAATAAGATGATGGCCAAACTTTTAAGGAGCCCAGTTTTAGTAAGAAAAATATAATTTGTTCAAAAACCTAACAGAGTAGAGTCAACTGGAAAAGTGGCCTATTTTGGAATTTTGAACAAATATCACCAAACATTTTTTTAGTCTGACTTGCAAATAAGCTGTAGCTTTCAGGATACTGACTTCATTCAATCAAGAATGTATCCATTATTTTGAATATCAGTGAGATGCTGTGATACCTGGGCAGGGGATTTTATAAATAGCAGTCGCCTCATGTGCAGTCTCTGAAGATACTATATTCATGGTTCAAATTGACACAGTGCATCTCACTGGACTCTGGACAAATGGTCTGAAATCAGAAGTCAAATAATTAATGAGATTGTCTTTCTTGTCACTGAGGCCACGGAATGAGGAGTTTTCAAGCCTGTTTCTGTTATCACACCCTTTTCAGAGGTATATAAGAGTCCCCAGGAAGATAGTGGCATTCATACTTGAGAAACACACCCTCATCAATGAACAAAATCCTCAACTTCTGGCACTATGAGCTACTACTAAGCAACTATCGTGGTGGCCTTGGCTATAGTTATGGAAGCCCGGGCTATGCCTATGGAGGCTACAGATATGGCTGCTGCCGCCCACTATGCTATGGTGGATATGGATTATCTGGCTTCTACTGAAAAGAAAAAAAGGAAAGATGATTTGGGACTTTAGGATTCAGATATCATTCTACTGTTAGTATTTTAGCTTTTTCAACATCAACAATAGCACTTCATTCCATGAAGTGATTGAAAATTTCACAGATTGGGTCACCTATAGCATCTCTGCCAGCAATTTTTAATAAAACCATTTTCTTGAATGACAAAGTTCACTTCTAATTTCGTTCATATTAACATTTTCTAATTTTGCCATTACCACACAGAATGATTATTTTGCCTTAGAAATTATTACTTTAGGGAAGACCTTTTAAGATGACTTTGTATTACATTTTTTATTAAAGGTATAGTGTCTTAAAAAACATTACCTTTAACAGTGAAGATACTGCTGTTCTTTCTCTGACTGAAGATGCATACATAGCTGATTGAAGAGTGAGAGAGATAAAACAACAAAAACAACAACGAAAGACAAAAGGAAAACCCTTTGCATGTGCTTTTAAGGTTAAACTGTCCTTAAGTTTCAGTGAATGAAGGCTACTAGAACCATGCGGAACACATAATGTAAGCTCAATAACTATATGTTAAATAAATGAAATGCATTAGTGAGAAAGGAAAGGTAATTAAAATTTTTGTCCTATTTTGTGTCAAATGGTACGCAAGGTATAGGCATGACTCTCTCTCTCTCTATATATATACACACACATACACACATATATAGAACCATATATAAATATATATATATATTTTTCCCTCAAAGCATATATTCACCACTTCTCTCAGTACATCTTTGAGCCCCTTTGCCAGAATCGCTCAGGAATGTGGAGAACCCCCACCCATGCTCCCTGGGCCTCCTGAGGCCTTGCTGACCAGGCCCTCATGGCTTGCACAGCGGCATCCTTGTCAATACCAAACTTCTTCAGCAGCTCAGCTGGCTTCTTGGTACCTGGCTAGCAGCCAAGAGCATGACAGTGATGCCAGGCTCACCCACGACTGCAGTGGACACTGCCTCGCCTTCATCATAGTGGTCCTCCACTGTAAGGATCCTGTACTTGGTGGCAGTGTAGTGGCCGAAAGTTCAATCCGAGAGACCACCAAGAGCCAATTCCGATGAAAGTTCAAGAGGGCTTTTATTTTGCAAGCTCCAGCCTGGACCTCTGTCGACAACCGACGCAGCAGAGTACACCCAGAGGCCCTGACTTCCTTAAGCAGACACCTTTGATGTTTTCACACAAAGCGAGGAGGAGTTTGGGGGGACCTTCCAGTCTTGTTACCATTTAATTGGGTAGTAACCTTTGGTGGTCAGCTCAATGGTGGAGGCTTGGCTAGCTTGACTCGGGCTGACCTTGGCCCACTAGCTGGGGAAGTTGCAGAGACATGTGGAAACTTTAGGTGATTTTCCCCTGGCACCTGATTGGTTGTTGCTAAGGGGAAAGTGGGTCAAGGGAAGGGGTTAAAGCTTGAACGGGAGCTTTGCAGTTTTTCCCATAACTGAAACTTTAAGCAGCTGCAGGTTATGTTTTAAAGCAGAAAACTAAAATGGCTGTGCTACTGTCCACAAGCCGATTGCATATTTATTGAGTTACAGCATGCTCTTAACCTAAGTCTATGGTATACTCTATCAGGTTCTCTCAGCAGGAGTGCTGTCAAGAATGAGCTTTCTGTCTAGGGGCTGACGGTGACGGGGTCCAGTACGCGGATGCCTTCTCTTCTCAGCAGCTCAGCTGCAGCCAAAGTCTCATGCAGGGTTGCCCCGGCCGCCCCCAGTCACCCGGTCATCCTGGCTCTTCAGGACCACCTTGGCTTGTCCGACCTGGAAACCCGGCCGCTGTTACAGAGGACGGCGCTTTCCGGGCGGCTGGTCCGGATGAAGCAGGCGCCCTTCGGTGGGCTGCTGGTCCGCCGCCGGCTCATAGCAGCTCCATCACTTGGCACGAGACGGCGCACGTGCCACAGACCGAAACCGCCAGACCCCCCAGGGCCGTCTGCGAGGCCGTCCTGCCCAGTGGACACCCGCCGTGGGAGCCGGAGGCTGACGCCGCTCTCGGAGGGGCCGCCCCGCGGGTCTGGGCCCAAGGGTGCCGCAGAAGGCCCGTGCTGTCGGCGCAGTTCGCCATGTTGGGCTCCGCCACGCGGCACTCGAGGGCGCGGCCTGGGCGTGGCCTTCTGAAGCTCCGGGAAGGGGGCGTTCGTGGCGCCCCGTCCAGGGCGGCGG